CATCCTGCAGTTGTTTCCCACCCCCCTCGGTGAAGGGGCTGTGCTTTAATTAATGTTTGCAAATTGCTTTGAGGATGGCTGCTGCGAGAGGTGCGAGGACGCTCGCCGTGCCGGCGTCTCCGGCAGCCGAGCCTCAGCTCTCGCAGGGGGCCGCGGCGGGCGCAAATTGGCACCGAGCCCCCGGAGCCGCCGGGAGCCGCGCTCGTTCGTGCCAGCACGGGCCTGGCGTGGGACGCCGGCTCGGCAGCCGGGGGTGGCTTCACGTGCAGCTGGATTTCGGGGCCGGGTGTTTTAACAAGCGTGGGATGAGGCAGCGAAACGCGCCCGGTTCTGTGCGCGGAGCCCGCAGGGAGGCAGCGCCCAGCACGCCCGGGAGGAGCGTGGCCGTGGGTGGATTTGGGCGTGGGAGCGCCGGGCGTCTTCTCCTCTGCGTTTCGGTGCCTGAGCCGTGTGCTGGGGTGTTCCCCTCTTTCCTCTGGAGGAAAAGGAGCACTCCCAGGGCGGATTCACGCAGTTGCTCTGGGCTCAGAGGCGCAGCTTGCATTTGGGTTATTTTGTAGTGTTTGGCACTGCCGCCCCTGCTTACTTGGAAGTGATTTCCTGAATAAAGTGAGGGTTTGGTGAGCCTTCAGGGGCTCCGGGGTGTTCAAGCTGTGCCTCAGCCTGGCCGTGTGGACCGATAGCCCACCGCCGGGCAGTGCTGGTGTCACCAGCATCCCCCCGGGCACCCCTTTGTGCAGACACCTCTGCTCCCTGCTGACCCCATCTCCTGCCCCGCAGAGCAGCCACGTGCCCAGAGTGCCCGGAGCTGTGACCCTGCCACCCCCCCGGGGCACCAGGCACTAACGGGTGCCCCAGGACAAACCCGGGCACACAGGCACCGTGTCCTGGCACGGCACCGTGTCCCGGCACGGCATCGTGGTGCTTTGCTCCGGCGGCACGGGGAGACCTGGGCGGCTCGCTGCGGTGGCTAATTGCCCTCGCCGCTCGGCCGCGCGCCTCGTGCCCGGAGCAGAGGCCGGTGGCACGGTGCCAGCCGGGTCCCGGTGCGGGCAGAGCTGCCCGAGCGTTGCCGTCAGCGCCGGCGCGGCTCAGGGGAGCGGAGAGGCCCAAGCTGACAGCAGCCGCTAATGAGCCGGCAGTAATGCACTCGTGGCTGTTCATTACTTTGGGGTTTCTGACATTTGGGTCACTTAATGGATTTGTTTCCTTCTCCCTCTGCATCCTCCCCCTCCCCTCCGGTGGCTGCCTGGGACCGGTTGTAAATTAGCCCTTAATTTCTCACATGTGTCTTCACTTAAACAGCAAACCCGCTCAGCACCACCCCCCCCCCCCCCCTCTGCCACCACCCCCTCCCCGGCCTCTTGGCACCTTGGGGGGGCTCAGCCGGGGCTGCCGGGTGCTGGCACGACCCCGCGGCGGGGGCAGAGGCTGCAGCAGCCGGGATCCCCCCGCGCACCGCGGCTGCGCGCAGGCACGCGGCCAGGCCCCGAAAGCTCCCGGGGCCGCGGCTGGGCCCCTTTTCCTGTTGCAGCTAAATTATAACCAGCCCTGGTAACGAGCAGGCAGCCTCGCTCCGGCTCTGCTGGCGCTGGAGCCGCGCTCCTCGCGAGCCTTTCTGCTGCGCCTCTTTACCTTTAAAGCAGGAAGGGTTTTTTTTTTTCTGTTTTTTTTTTTTTGCTTTCAGTAGCAAATATTTTCCATAATTTCTGGGCTGGTGCAATTAAAGCTCTAGAAGATGGGTGTAAATTATACCTCCCTGCAACCAGCCTCGCCCCCCTAGAGTAGCTGGGGGCTGGAAACATGAGGATTTGCAATAATTAAGGCAAATAGTTGTTTTTGTTTGGTAAGGAAAAACAAGCCGGTGCTGCTCGAAAGAAAGCGAGAGAAACCGTAGAAAGTGTTTGCCTTCCAATTACCGAGGACCGGGGGAGAAAAAGTCGTTACACGCGGAGCTGGCGCCGGGCTCCGTGCCTGGCAGGGGCGTGGAGGAGCCACACCGGGACCTGGCCGCAGAGCCACCGGGATTAACGGGGCCGCTCGCTGCGCTTCTCCCCTTACTGGCCATTTCCCAGCGAATTTAATCCCTGACTTCCCACGGCCCTGGCAGGAGCCGCTGTGCTCGGCTGTACTGGGAAAACTGGGCTGAGCTGGGTTGAACTGGGCTGAGCTGGGCTGAGCTGGGCTGAGCTGGGCTGAGCAGGGTTTCTTGCCGTGCGCCTCCCGGGGGCGCAGAGAAAAGCCCCGTGCAGCACCGGGGGAAGCGGGGGGGCTCCCGGAGCTGCCCCCAGCCCACCGGGGGTGCTCCCCGAGGCTCTGGGCCGTGCTCTTTGTACCCCGTGTGCTGCAGAACGGCCTCGGAGGTGCCGACAGCGAGCGCCTGGGTGTCTGCCACACCCCAAACCGGGGCCAAAATCAGCAGCTGCCGCTGAAGGCAGCGCCGGGGGCTTTGTGCTGTTTCCATCTCTCCAGCCGCAAAATAACTGCGGGATTGATTAGTCTCGAGGGCTACGGCGGAGCTTGATTAATTTGGTAATTATGACTTCAAGGTATTGCCCCCTGCAATGAAGCCCCTCGGATGTCCTCTCGCAGCCTCTGCTGGGGCCTCGTCCTGGGCTCTGGACCCAGGCTGGAGCCAGCCCCGGCCGTGCCGCGCACCCGTGGGTGCTCTCCGGAGCTGGTGCCAGGGGCGTTGCTTGGTCTGGGACCCCCCGGTGCAAGGGGAGACACCGGGGCAAGAGGAACCGAGCCCCGTGCCAAGCCCTAGAAAACGCTGCCCGTGCCGGGAAGCTCCTCTGCTTTCTGCAGCTCCGTCTAATAAAAGGCACGGCCGCTCCCCGCGAGCCGTGCCCGAGATGCTTGAGGCTGGAGCGGAGCCCGTTATCGAGCGCTCGGCGTTTCAGCCGCTCGCAGCTTTACGGCTCGGGCTGCGTTTTTTCAGTCGAGGTTATTCTTTTCTTGCGATTTCAGCCAAATCTGCTTAGCGATTTCCAAGAATGAGGCTTTGGAGGAAAAAAAAAAAAAAAAAAAAAAAAGACTTTTTAATTGTGTTAAAATATTCTAGTGACCTTTCCTTTGAAAAGCCTGCACGCCGGATGCCCTGCGGAGGGTACGTGAGACCCCGCGGTGAGGTTTGCTGCCGCCCCGCGCCCCCTGCCCTCCTTCGGGCCGGCTGGGAGCCAAAACCAAACCCCAGCCCTTGGAGCTTGCACCGGTTTGGCTGCGGTGCTGGGCGCTCAGCTCGAGCTCTCTGGCCCGGTCTGGTGCTGGAACGATGTCCCCAGCGCTGCCGCTGCCAGCATTCGAAGCTACAGGTGCCCACGCAGCCTAAATGAGGCTGAAAAAGGCAAAAACGGGAGCCTGGGAGCATGGTGGGAGCCTGGCCCTGCGCCTTGCCTTGCGTTTCTGGGGGAGAAGAAGAAGAATCGCCCTCCCCTCACCAAACCTCAGAGCCCGGGGGTGTCAGAGCCCATCTCAGCACCACGCTGCAGGAGTCCGCGTGGTCCAGCATCGGGATCTCCAGCCCCCCAAATAATTCCAGGGATAACTTTGGGATGCCCCTTTGGGGTCTGTGCCGCTGGGTCGGGGTCTGTTTGCGCTCCCCCCGCAGCCACGCACGGGGAGGGGCCGCGGCTGGGCTGCCAGCGCCCTGGAGAGGCTTTTAGTGGCTTGGCTTGATAAATGAAAACAAATAAAGCTGATGGACAAGCGGACAGCTTTATGATAGCTTGGCGCTGACAGGGAGAAAGATTGGTTGTCGGGGCTTGATGGAGAAATGTCCTGATGGGCGCAGCCGGGGCGAGGACAACCTTGGTGGCGGAGGATGAGGAGTTCCCGCGCGGGAGGACGCGCAGCCAGCGCCGTCCCAAACAATCCTGCCTTGATCTGGTTGACTTTTTGGCAGGGGGGGGGCACGATGCAACGCAGCCCATTGAGTTTTTGCAAGGAGGTTTGCTAAAGAAGGACGGCGGGCCGGGGTGGCTGACAGCGGACCCCTTCCTCTCATTCCAAGCCAAAAAACCCAAAACCCCAAACCCCGAAGGCGCCACGTGCAGACGGGTATGGGGGGGGCAGTGGGAGGTGATGGGGGGGCAGCAGGGTGATGAAGCACGAGGTTGGGCAGGCAGCAGGATGGGATGCGTGGATGCACCCCGATACCGGTCCCGTTGGTGTCAGCCCCACTAGGAGCCCCCTTTGCAATGCATCCCTGAGCCCCATGCAGAGCCCCCCATGTGCCCCCCAAATTGCAATGCACCCCACTTTGCAATACACCTCCCATGTGCAGTGCACCCCAATGCACCCCCATGTGCAATGCACTCCAATTTGCAATGCACCTCCCCAAATTGCAGTGCACCCCCGTGTGCAATGCACCCCCCCCGATTGTAATGCACCGCCACGTGCAGTGCACCCCCAAATTGCAATGCACCACGTGCAATTCACCCCCACCTTTGCAATGCTCCCCCCCCATGTGCAATGCACTCCCACGTGCAATTCACCCCTCCCACGTGCAACGCACCCCCAAATTGCAATGCACTCCCCAATGTGCAATGCACCCCCATGTGCAATGCACTCCAATTTGCAATGCACCCCCCCAAATTGCAGTGCACCCCCCATGTGCAATGCACTCCCACGTGCAACGCACCCCCAAATTGCAATGCACCCCAATGTGCAATGCACCCCAAATCCCCCCAAATTGCAATGCCCCCCCCTTTGCAATGCCCCCCCCTTTGCAATACCCCCCCCGTGCAATGCCCCCCCCAAATTTGCAATACCCCCCTCACCCCCCCCTTTACAAATCCCCCCCCCGGTTGCGCCCCCCTCCCTCCCCCTTGACCCCTCCCCGTCCCCCGTTGTCGCCAACGGGGCGAGGCGGGGGGGGGGAGCGAACGAAGCAGGGGAGCGGCGGCGGCGCGGGGGGGCCGGGGCGTGGCTCCCGGTAGTGGGCGTGGCTCTCGGTAGTGGGCGTGTCCAAGGGGCGTGGCTCCCGGTAGGGGGCGTGGCCTCGGGCGGGGCGGGGCGGGGCGGGGCGGGGCGGCGGCGCAGCATGGCGCGGCGGCACTGAAGGCGCTGGGGGAGCAGCGGCCCGCCCGGCCCGGCCTTTGTCTCGCCGGGGCTCCCGGGCAGCGAAGCGGCGGCGGCGGCGGCGGCGGTGGAGGAGCCCCCGTGGGCCGCACCGGGCTCTCCCCCCCCCCCCCCTTTTCCCCTTCTCCCCTTCCCTTCCCTCCCCTTCCTCCTCCTCCTCCTCCTCTCCTCTTCCTCCCCCCGGTCCCTCCCCATCCCCGCCGCCGCCGCTCCACAGGTGCGGGGCCGCCCCGGGGACCCCCGAAGTTCGGGCCGGGCACCGGGGGGGGGGAGGAGGGGGGGTGCCGGTGGCAACGGCAGCAGCAGCATCCCCATCCCCATCCCCATCCCCATCCCCATCCCCATCCCCATCCCCATCATCACCGTCCCGGTGCCCCCCCGGTGCTGCTGTTTTTTTTTTTTTGGGGTGGGGGGGGGAGCACCTCGGGATGCCGCCGCCCCGGCCCCGCCGCGCCGCGGTCGCCCCCAACTCGCCCCGCTGACGGCTCCCGGGGGCGATGGTGAGGGCCGCCCGGCCGCCCCCCGCTGCCCCCCGCCGCCCGCCCGCAGCCCCCGGCCGGCCCCTGGGCTCCGCCGCCTCCGTCTCCGTCTCTGTCTCCGTCTCCGCCGCCCCCCCGTGACCGGCCGGAGCCGCGCCCGCCGCCCGCCGGGACGATGCCGCCGCGCTGGGAGGCGGCCGCGCTGCTCGCAGCCCTCGTCGGTGTCTGCGTCTGGACCGACGACCCCGGGAAGGTGGTGTCGGACCGCTACGCCGTGTACTGGAACCGCAGCAACCCCAGGTGAGGCAGCGGGGACCCCCCCCCACACACCGGGGTTGGCGTTTTTCTTTTTAAAAATAAGGATTTGGGGAAAAAAAAGGGGTTTGCGGCTGCCCCCCTGCGCCCGCCGAGCTCCCCCGTGCCCGCCCGGGACCCTCCCGAAGTTTGCCCGCAGCCGCCGAGCGCAACAAAGCGGTGGGGGTGGCCCGGGGGGGGGGTATAGGAGGGGGTACCGGGGGTGGGGGGAGCACCGGGGGGACCCTGCCGGTACCGGAGAGCCGCAGCCCCCAGCCCGCAGAGGGAGGGCGGAGGTGGCCGGGCTGCTCCCGGTGTCCCGGTTCCCCGTTTTCCCGTTGCGTTCCGCCGGTGGTTTTCTTATTTTCGTGCCCGTTGGCTTTTTGCTGTTTTTGGAGAGTTTGGATTCTGTTGCGGTTCTTTGTCTGGAATTCTGAAAAGCCCTAAAATTGCCCCAGAGCCCTCAGGGAGCCCTGCCTGGGGGGGCTGGGACCACCGGGCCCCCACCGCTTGCCCCACACGGGTCCGAGCCGGGTTTCGGAGGGGCCGATTTGTGCAGGCTCCCTTAAAAGAGAAAATAAATCACTGCCACCAAAGCCACCCGTTCTTCCCCCAGTTTATAAAAGTTAAGCAGGGCCCCAGAACCCCCCCCGCAAGCCAAGCATTGCTGCGAGCACGGGGTCACCTCGCTCGTGTCCCTGCCGGGTGGGTGCCAGCCCCCTTGGGTGCCCCGGTTTGGGGTCAATGGGGCGAAGCAGGCGTCTCCTCGCCCGTCCCATCCCAACGGGTGGCACCGTGCTGCAGGCGAGGCCGGGAGGATTTCCCCCCTCTGATGCTTTAAGAGGGATTCGGGTTCCTTTGCCACGACCCCATTCCCCATCCAAGGTCCCGGTGGCGTTTCGGTGCCGCAGGAGGTGCCGGGACGGATGGCGCAGGGCTCGCCGCGCAGCCCCATCCCCACGGCACGGGTGGGATGGGGGTGTCGGGGACCCCCCCAATTGCTCCAGCATCATCTCAACCCCGGCACCGTGCGCCCCCGGTGGGGCTCAGCCACCCGTGACGCCGCGGCCTCGCGCCTCCACCCGCACCCCGACAGCCGGGACGCCCGGCGGGCGCCTTTGTGCGCGGCGGGGCCTTCTCCGCGGGCCGGCCGCCTTGCATATGGATTTTATTATCTCCCTCGCATTTTTGTGGGGGGTTGTAAGAGGGAGGGTTTTTCCCTTTTTTTTTTTTTCTTTTCCTTTTTTTTTTTTTTCTCATTCCCATTGCAAAGTTTTTGGTTACAGTGGCTGCTCCTCTGCGGTGTCGCAGTTTGGGCTCTTTCCCTTTTGTTCTCCAAAACGCCCAACATGCGAGGGCCCCGCTGGGATGGGACGGGGGCGTTGGGCCTGCTGGTGCCCAACGCACTTGGGCATCGTCCTGGTTGGAGACGGGGCCGGCATCACCCCGAGGTCGGGGCCCATGCCCGTGGGTCCTTACGGCAGCACCGAAAGCCCAAATCGGTGCCGAGCTGCTGGCCGTAGTGCCGGGCACCTCGCTGCACCCTGCCCTGTGCCCCGGCACCGTCCCACGGCACCGGGCTGGGCACTGCAGGGACGCGCTCCCCCCGGACCGGGTGGTGGTGGTGAGCCACGGCTGCCGGTTCTGACACTGGTGGAGGAGACGTTTCCGAGGGGGGATGAAAAAAAAAAGAATAAAATAGGGCGAAGGAAGTAGGAATCGATGCAAGGAGGGAGCAGACAATGGCTCGTGGGTTTCAGCAGGCGCCGGGTCTGCGCCGTGACCCACATTTCCCAGCATGGCAGCACCCACGCTGCGGGCGGCCGCGGGGCTCCCCGCGTGCGTGTTGGGGGCTCGGGAATCCAGGGCAGTCGTGAGACGTTGCAGGATTTGCCGCCGAGTTTCCTGCTTATTTTTCTTTCGGAGCCTAGCAGCGGTTCGGCGTGTCTCCGGAGTTGCTAGAAGAGCGTTTCGTTCTTAAAAACGAGGAATAATCCGCGTGTGCCTTTTCTGGTCTCTTGGTTTCCTTCTTATTTTTTTTCCCCCCCACCATCTCGTTTAATAAGAGGGAAATCGGAAGGGATGTAAAGAAGACCAAAAAAAAAAAAAAAATAGAGAGAAGAAAATGCCCTCTGCTTGTTTGAACCTGCGTACCTGATCTGGCAATAAATGTTTTTCTTCTATTTTATAGCGCAATCTATATTCTATAAAAGACGGTAATAAATCTCTTGGTCAATACAATTTGCCCAGATTAGAATAATTCTATATTTCATAATTGGGCCCAAATTAAAAATAAGTGTTACATCGAGATGCTGCAATTTGCCTCTTCTGTGGGGATATTTAGCTGCTCGCCACGGATTTAGAGATTTATTTTTTATTTTTTTTAATGATTTTGCAAACACACGTTTGGGAAAGGTTCCATGGGTTTGGCTGTTCGGGACGTAGCCGAAGGAGGGGGAGCGTGTCGTTATGCACCACGGTGCCTCGGTATCTGCATGTAACGGGGGGGTTTGGTGGTGTGCATGCAGACCGATGCACCCGCACCTCTTTGCCCCACACGGGGCCGTGTCCAGGGCTCGCCACGACCCCGGCTGGTGCCATCCTTGGGGTGGATTTTTTGGCACAAGGCCGGGGAGCAGCGGGTCGAGGCGGGGAGCCCGGCACAATGCCGCTGTCGGACGGCGGCACCGCAGCTGCGTCGGGGTCTCCGGCCACTGCCAGCGCTGGTGCAGGACCCCCAGCACCGCAGCGAGCCCCGTGCCGTGATGGGCATGGTGGTGTGCCTCTTGGTCAGCTTGCACCGAGTCGTACCAGGAAAAATTGGGGCTCGAGGAGACCTCAGCACTGAGGGGCACAAAAGGTTTTGGGAAGGATCGTCACCGTGCCACGACAGCTCCAGGACCCATCCGGAATTCCAGCCTCGGGGCCACGGTTGGAAACCTCCCGGCCACGAAGGGAAGACTTAGAAAAGGAAAGACTTAGAATTTGGGATTTGTTCTCGTTCCCCGCTCCACCTGCAGCTCCGTAATGGGCAGGTTATAGTAATTCCGGAATGATGGTTTTCCTGCAGCCAAACGCAATTCCCCCATATGCAGCCGCGTATTTCTGTGTCTGTAGAGAGAGAAATGTGCAAAGTGTTAGGTATTTTTCTCTCTCTATTTACAGTACAGATACAAATGCTGTAAATGGTCTAGATTTTACCCATGGCCTATATTTAACTGTGAAGTCATTTCTGTGCCTTGGAAAGCTTATTTTCTATTTCTCTTTTTTTTTCTTCTTGGTGTTGTGAGCACAGCTGGGGTTTCTGTTCCGCTGCTCTGCGCTCCCCAGGCCGGGGCTGGGGACACCAGGCAAACGTCTCCGAGCGGGGACATTCACTGGGGGGGACACGGGGGGACTTTTGGGGGCTCCTTTTGTGCGTCCTACGAGGGGCCCGAGCTGCGGCACGGGGGGAGTTGGGGCGACGGAGCCTTTGTGCGTGCTTCTTCCCATCTTGCTGCCTCCGAAGGCAGCTGGTGGCACGCGGGCAGAGCCCGTGGCGTGCCGGCTGGGTCGATGCTTTGTCCTGGAGCCCGGTGTGTGGCTGCCGGGGCCGTGCCGGGGCTGTGCCCACCCGCGCTTGGTGGCGATTTCCCAGCCCCAGCCTGAGCAAAATCGCCCGGTGGGGCTGCAGCGATGGGCATGGCAGCAGGCTCCTCGTTCGAGGGAATGAGGAAAACCCACGGTGGTTTTTCCAGGGGGAATTCACCACTGCAGCAGGAAGGTTTGGTGCCACGCACCCGCTCCCATATCTACGGCAGGGCTGGGTGCTCTCCGTGCCGTGGGCTCCTTTCCAAGGCTCCGTTCCTGTCCGGGGCTGCCTGGGTTGGGCACAAACCTTTGGGGCCATCCCGTGGAGCTCCCTGGAGCCCACGAGCATCACGCTGGGGGGTTTGCACCGACACCACCACGGAGCTCCCAGCTCCTGGCTCTTGGCCTGAGCCCCGGCGCGCTCGGGGTCCCCTGTCCCAGCGGGGCCGGGGCAGCTCCCGGGGGGTGGTGAGGGGAGCTCGGGGTGGGAGCCGCCGCTGCTCGGCCACCTCGGCCATCCTGTGCAATTAGTTCTTTTTTGAGTTTTCATTTGTATCGTTTTCCCTTTGTGCTGCGATCATTCGCAGCCCTTCCCACCCCTCTTTTTCCAGCCCGTTAAGCCGTGTTAGCTATTCTTCACCAGCCAAGGGCTGTAGCGGCGCGGTTAATAGAGAGCAGATACAACCAGGTCCAGCGCCTGTGACAAGATTTTCTCTCCCCGCCTGTCTCCGTCTCTCCCCGTCCCTTCCCGGGGACTGCAATTACATTCCCTACTGCTCGCCCGTTTGGTATCCAGATGCCGGCCACGCGCCGCATCCTAATGCGAGGCTGGGGCCGGGAGCCGCAGGTCGGCCCCGCACCACCCCAAATTGTGCTGGTCCAAGGGGCACAAAGGATGGGCAGGGAGCCCCTGCAGAGGGTAAGGGGGAGAAAGACACCCTCGGGTACCGCTGTGGAGCTTTAAAAGCCCTCTCGGATGCGTGTACCTTGTGCGCTCACACGAATAATCCCCGTGCACAAACACCCACGGCCGCCCACCCGGCATCCCCCTGCGTGGGCAGCAGCGCGCCCGGAGCCATCTGCACGTGGCAGGCGCCCGCTGCTCTACCTGCAGGCTGAGGGCTATAAATAGTTGGGGTTTGGGGTTTCACGTCCCTGGGAACACGGATCCCAGCGCCAGGTAGCATCTCGCCCAGCTGTCTGTCTGTCCGTCTCGCTGCGTACGCCCGTGCGCGCGGCCGACCCACGTGGCGGTGGCCGGGGCTCTCCGTGTCAATACGTGCATAAATTTGACAAGGTTCATCTGCCGGCTTGTCTGCAAAATTGCTGCAATTGTTCCTTAAATAGCTCCTCATTTCTGGTGGTGGAAATTTGGGTTCTTTTGTGCTAGATATTAATCACGGTTTTAGAGGCTTCCTTTTTTTTTTTATCCCAGG